GGTCCCCAACCCTGGCCTGGCAGCTCCAGAGGGGTCGGCACGGCGCTTCCAGCCCCCCACTCCCCATCCCTGCAGCTCCCCGGGGTGTCCCTGCTCATCCAGAGCCTCTGGGGTGCTGCCAGGGGGTACTCAGAGCCCAGCTGTGGTGGCTCCTGCTTGTTCCCTGTCCCCAGAGCTGCTGCCTTCTGGGTGCTTCCGTGTCCAGCTCCCCCGGCACTGTGGGACAACCCTATGGAAGCCCTCGAGGAGCCGGTGGGTCCTGCAGCGGGACGGTGCCGTTCACCCCTGAGGCTGAGCGGTGTTTGCAGCACTGAACAACCCCTAAAACGAACCCACCCGTGGCTGAGTGGAGGGTGATAACCTGCTGATCCCCTGCAGATGGCTCAGGGGGGGCAGCGAGGCTGCTCCTGCACATGCCACCCCCAGATCTGTGCCCACAGCACCGCCACTGCCGTGGCCTTTTGGTGCTGCCGCCACCCTGAGCTCAGTGCCAGCCAAGGGGGGGCTGTGATGGCCATGTCATATCCCCCCCGGGTCGTGGGAGATGGATTGTTGACACTTGAGCTGCTCAAGGTCACCTGGATGTTGTTAAATCCTGGCAGAATCCAGCGACCAGCACGGTTATGTCCGTGTGCAGTGGGAAAGGAGCAGAGTGAGGGGGAGAGGAGGTGCCACACGGGGCCCAGCGACGCAGAGCAGAGCAGGGGCACTGCCAGCCTGGTCACACCAAGGTCCTGGCACTGCAGAGGGGCAGCCAGGCTGGTAAGGGCTCCTTAGTGCTGGCTTTGCCAAAAAAAAGCTGAATCCATCCATTTTTAGCAAGGAAAAAGGTGCTGCCAGGTCCGTGGTGCTGCCAGTGTGACGAACACGAGCTGCTCAGAAACAGAGTCAGTTCTGCTTTTCATTTCCTTCTTCCCCTTAATCGCATCTAGTCCGGATCAGAGGGATGCAGGGAAGCTGCTGAGGAGCCATGGGCTGCAGCCAGACCCCCTGTCCTGCACCCACACCTCCCTCCCAGGACATCCAGCCCCATTGTGGCACTTTGCATGGAATCCCAGAATGGTTTGGGTTGGAAGGGACCTTAAACACCGTTTTGTTCCACCTCTCTGCCACGGGCAGGGACACCTTCCACCACTTCCAGGGATGGAAATGTCAACCCACGTCAGGCTGCACGCCCTGACCTGAAACCCCAAACTGCTTCCAGGGAGTTGTAGGCACCACCAGTGCAGTGGGAAGGCTGAACTTTGGCTGCAGCCTGTCCTGGCAGCTCCAAAATGCTCCTGTCCATGGCAGTGACTGGCTGGTGGCTCTTGGCAGCTCCACATGGCTGCACTGCCCTCCGGTGCTTTCTAGCACGGAAGAGGCTGCAAATTCCAAATTCAGGAAGGTTTCATACACTGGGAAGTCCTGGATGATTACTTTGGTCCTGCAAAGGCATTAACAGGTCCTGACAACTTATCCCATCATCGCTCTGTTTATTGATGCCACTGTCCCACATGAGATCTGACACCGCTGGGAAGGAGCCCAGTGTGCTCCAGGGAGTTGGTGTCACCCCTCTGGCCACGGCCTGGCCCTTCAGGTGCATCCACAGCCCAACCTCAGGAGATGCACTGAGGACAAACCGGATCACAGAGAACCGAGTTGGTGGAGATAGCAAGGAGACAGCCCCGTGTCCCACCCCCTGTGACACGTGGGGAGGGACCCCGGCAGCGAGGACCCGGGAACTGGGAGATCTCCCACAGGCAGCCCCGAGCTGATCAGGGCTTTTCTTGGAGCCAGCCCAGGACCTGCTCCTCATCTGGGGCAGGAATCCCGCTGCTCCTGCCACTAGTGCAAAGAGAGCAGAAGAGCAGTTGAACTCACCAAGGTGTTGTGCTCAGGCCCACGGTGACCCCACAGCAGCCGTGGCCAGACCCCCAGCCCCCCGATGCCCTCGTGGCAGCAGGAAGGCCGGACCCCCGGGAGGACTGAGCGCTAGGGACGAGTGTTTGGAGGAGCCTTGCTGAGCGGTCCTACCAGAAAAAGGCTCTTTTACTGCAACTAGAATTTTATTCTATTGTATAATTCAGGAGTGCATCACAGCCCCGCGAGCCGGGCAGGCACCTACCGGCGCTTCCAATCTAGACACACGCAGAACCTCCTCGTTAGCTGGGTCTGTTAATTACTCACCTCCCCCCGGCCGGAGCTTCTGTAACCACGCGCTGCCGAGCGGCTGTCGCGTCCAGCCCGGAGAGCTGGGACGAGGCAGCACCTCTGCAGAGCTCCTGGACAAAAAGTGACTGTGCCAGAATCAGCCTACAGAGCATTTAACAAAAAAAAAAAAACCACCCAGAAAATCTTGCCCATCCTAAGGTTGCTTATCAATTAAAAAGTTCCTCCACATTTATTTTAAAAAACCAAACAGTAGATTTAAAAAGCAGTTACGAGTCCTACTCCGGCAAAACACCCTGTACAGGTTTCTTTTGTTGGTGGTGAGGATTCCCCCTAAATCAGCTGCTTCTGTTAATTTTATATATATATAATCTTTTAATTTTGCCGCGCGTTGCTTGCTTTAATTCATTAATTTATTTCCAATCAGCCCAGTCTCCACCAGACCAGCGGCGCTACCACACAAAGCTTCCTTGATGTCCATGCCCTGAGCTGGGGTGGGGGGAGACGGACGGAGGGAGGGCGGGAGAGATGAGTGGAGGAGGAGGAGGAGGAGGAGGAGTAGGAGGAGGGGTGGAGGGAGGGAGAGGAGGGGGAGGAAGCCGTCGGGCAGCCCCTCACTCTCCCATGTGCGTCCTCAGGTGGTACTTGAGGGACTGCTTGTAGCGGAAGCACTTGGTGCACTCGGTGCAGGGGTAGGGCCGCTCGCCGGTGTGCGCCCGCTGGTGCTCCAGGAGGTGATGCTTCTGCGTGAAGTTCTTGCCGCACTCGGTGCAGTGGTAGGGCCGCTCGCCCGTGTGGATGCGCTGGTGCTCCAGGAGGTGGTGCTTGCGGATGAAGCCCTTCCCGCAGACGGCGCAGGCGTGCGGGCGCTCCCGCGTGTGGATGCGGTAATGGTTGGTCAGCTTGGACTTCTCGCTGAAGGTCTTCTCGCACTGGCTGCACTGGTAGGGCCGCTCGCCGGTGTGAGTCCGCTGGTGCCGCAGCAGGTGGGAGGGCCGGGTGAAGTTCTTCCCGCACTGGGGGCACAGGAAGGCCATCTCGTTCTTGCCGGCGTGGATCCTCTGGTGCATGAGGAGGCTGATCTGCAGGCGGAAGCTCCTCCGGCACTCGCCGCAGGTGAAGGGCCGCTCCCCGACGTGGGTGATCTGGTGCTTGCTGAGGCTCGACTTGTGGCTGAAGCTGCTCTCGCACTCGGAGCACTTGTAGGGCTTCCCCGGGGGCGGGGGCCGCGCCGGGGGCTTGAGGCCGTGCTCGGGGCGCCGTGGGACCCCCACGCCGCGGCGCGTGTGGCTGCGCTGGTGCAGCAGGAACTGCTGCTTGTTGCGGAAGCTGAGGTCGCACTCGTGGCACTCGTAGGGCCCTTCCTTGAGGTGGTTGCGCTGGTGGATCATGAAGTTGATCTTGAGCATGAAGCTCTTGCCGCACTCAGGGCAGATGTAGGGTCTCTCCCGCGTCCGGTTCCGCTGCTGGGCGCTGGCCGCCTTCATCTCCCCGGGGTCCCTCTCGCAGGCCGACGGCTTCCTCACGCGGGCTGCCAGGCCCCTGGGCTGGGCCTTGGAGCTGCACTGCGCCTCGCAGCCCAGCCCGGCCTCGTGGCTGGGGAACGCCGGCGGCTCGGCCCTGCCCGAGAACATGGCGCACGGCTCCAGCGTGTCGGGGTCGTCCTCCTCCTCCTCCTCCGTCTTGATCACGATCCCGTCCTCTGCGGGGGGAAACCAGAACAGCGTCAGGGGCGCGGGGTGGGACGGGGTGGCCTTTTATGCACGTGGGGGGTGTTACAGGAACATCTGAGGGGCTCCTGCAGCTGTTTGGCCCTGCCTGCTCTGCCCCACCACCCAGAGCGAGCCGGCTGCAGCCAGAGCCCGGAGCGCTGGGAAGGGCCATGTCACCCCTCAACACCGAGTTCAGACAAACAGCCCCTGAGGGGCCCTCAGACTCTCCTGCAAAAACGCTCGGCAACTTCATGGTGCTGCAGGATGTGGGGGGTAAAAGCACCATCAGTTTGTGAAGGCTCATGTGGCCGAGTGATTTCAGAGCAGCTCCATCTGCTGCCGTTTCACTGGGATACAACAACGCTCCCGGCACGGCACTGCTCGACGGACACACAGCCCCGGGCTGCCGGCATCCAGCTCCGCTCCTGGGACAGCACACCCAGCCCGGGAACGTCCCCTTCCCTCAGCCTCACCCCCCTCCTTCCCGGCGTGACCAGCAGTGGGATGGAGGGACGCACGTCAGGCTCCCCCTCGTGTCACCGACGCCGGAAGTGACCCGGTGGTTTTGTTTGGTGAGACCTGCCCTGCCAGGGACACATCCCAGGGACACGGAGGGAATCCACAGCGGATCCCTCACATCACTGCACATCCCAGGGACATGGAGGGAATCCACAGCAGATCCCTCATGTCACTGCACATCCCAGGGACACGGAGGGAATCCACAGCGGATCCCTCATGTCACTGCACATCCCAGGGACACGGAGGAAATCCACAGTGGATCCCTCATGTCACTGCACATCCCAGGGACACGGAGGAAATCCACAGCGGATCCCTCATGTCATCCTGTGCTGCACTTTGAGCCAGACCCATGTGCTCTTCCAGGAAGAGCAGCCATGCTTTCCCAAGAGGCAGCCCAGATGTATCAAAGCTGTGGCTCTCTTCCCTCCAGCAGAGGGGTACTGGGGAATTCCAGGTCCTCTCCCTCCCTGCCTCCTCTGCAGATCCGGGGGCCCAGCACCCCCATCCCAGTCAGTGCCACCACAGCTCCCACTCAGCCCCACCAGCCAGGCCCCACACCTTGGACAAGGACCATCTCCAGCCCCACTGGTGGCTTGGCTGCTTTCCCTTCCCAAACCATGAGCAGACCACAGGATCCACGAGGCCCTCAGGAGCCCAACTGTCTCCCTCTTGGTTTGTGTTACACCACCACAGAGCTGTCAGGAGGAGGGAACCTGCCATTCCCAACCTCCCATCTCCTTGCTCTCCCACACCCCCCCTCAGAGCAGGTCTGTAGGACCTGGCCCACGTGTGCCACCCGACTGGCAGGATTCCACACATGAAAGGCCTGGTGCCATTGTCTCTTCACTAAACGACCTCACCCTTCCTCATCCCTCCTGGCAGCTTGGATCCACGGGGGTCCTGCCACGCTCCTCCCTGTCCTGTGGACCTGCCCCAAGTGACCCCCACACTGGTCAACCAGCAGGACCCCTCACCTCTGACCAGAGCTGCTCCCGAGGCTGCTGCAGCCAGAAACTTTCCTGCTGGTGCTGGTTCTGGGGGGATTTAACCCTGCCCATCCATCCAACCCCTTCCCCACCTCTTCCTGACCCCCAGCCCCGGAGCCCTGTCCCAAGGTCCCACCTGTGCAGCTCCCGTGGTGCACGATGACTCTCTGGATCTCGTTGAAGTCGGCTCCGTACTCGGACGAGTCCCCCAGGCTGGTTCCCGGCAGGTCCCTGGGAGGGGACACGGAGCCGTAGGGGCTCTCACAAGCCGCCTCCTCGTCCGGGCTCTGGAAGCTGCCCTCCGACTGCCCCGACATGCCGTGCAGCTCGGGGTTCTCGGGGCTGTCCTCGGGAAGGAGCTCCTCCGTTTTGATCACAACCCTTATTCCAGCTGCAGCAAAGAGAGATTCCCGCCCGCCGTCATTCCCGGCAGCCGGGATGGAGACACCGCTCGCAGCCATCCCTGCCGGCTCCGGCCGCTGATCCCGCACAGGGCTTTCACCTGCTCGGCCATTTCTGCTCTCCCTCCAGCCCCTGCCCTTCTCCCATTCCTGCCACGCTCCTGCCTCTCCCCTGGGATCCTCCGCAGGCACAGGGGACTGTCTCCGCCCAGCCTGGGACTCGGTGCCACAGCTCAGCACCCCTTGGGCTCCCCACATCCCCTGGCTGCAGATCCCAACGATTTTCCTCTTCCCGTTGGCCTCAATTTAATTTCAAGATCCTTGTGGTGAAGAGCACAGGCAGGGGGTCAGAGTGACCCCACATCCACAGCCTGGCACCAGGGATGGCCAGTGGAGCTGACCTCTTCTAGGACACCTATTTATCAGCCCCCTCATCCCAGAGCAGGAGTTGCTCTAGGACTCGGGATCCCTGGTGCCCTTCTCCCAGCCCAGCCCTGCCCTTGGAGCAACCCCTCAGCACCCCTTCTCCCTGCACACAGGATGGGAGCAGATTTCCCTGCCTGGGAGGGCACTCCAAGGATAAACCCAGGCACCATCCACACAAAGAGAGGGTGGAGAGGATTTTCTGGGTGGATGGGCTTTCCCAGTGGGACCCGATTCTCCTTCCTTGCCGGGCACACTGGCTCCCTGAGGACCTGGTCTGGTTGCAGATGCTTCCCTTGCTGATGGCTCCCAGTGCCCAGCTCTCCGGGCTCCTCCTGCCCTGGTTTATATGCTGAGCTGTACCTGGACATCAAATCTCTGATCGGCCAAACTTATCCTGTTCCTAGGCAAGGCTCCTCCTGATAACCCCCCCCAGCTCCCAGTAACACCTGCTTTAGCCCAGGGATGAGCAGCTCCTCGGGACACAACCAGGGCTCCCCTCGTGCCAAGGTCTCACCTGCTGTGGCATCAGTAATGATCTCACTCTCCTCCAAGTCCTGCTCGTTCCTGCCCCGCGATTCCTCTCCTTGCTCGATCTGAGACAAAACCCCAGGTTTGGAAATTGCATAGTCTGTTGAGAGACAGAGGGATGGAGAGAGGGATTACTGCACTGGGAGTCCAAGGCTGCCTTCCACCTCTCCCCAGTGCCTGGGGGACGTGGGAAGACACTCAGGAACATCCAGAGGGGCTGTGGGGAGCAAAGCCGGGCGCTGCCAGAGGCAGGAGCTGAGGTGCCACACAGAGGAACTGCCTTAGGCAAGAAACCCAAACCCTGTGTTTTTCTGGTGGGGTTTTAGAACTTCTCAGACAAATCCTGGCTCTCCTGCAGCCAAAGGCATTTCTCAGCTCCCAGCAGAGCCAGGATTTCTCCTGAAGCTCCGCAGGAAATGCCCCAAAGCACAGATCACAGTTCCCTCTAAGGGGGTGCGTGGGCTGGTACCCCCTGCAGACCCAGAAGGTGCAGGGAAGCCCTTCCAACAGCCACGGAGAAGGTGCTGGTTTTTCACCATTTAACTCCAGCTGGAAGAGGTTTGGGAGGTCTCCAGCCCACCTGCCTATGGAGATCCCCCTCAGCCAGGACAGCACCATGGCACGAGCTGGGAATGAACCCAAACTAGAAACACCCTCCTGTGCTTTTAAGTCTTTAAAATGGGACATTTGGGTCTCACCCAAGGGGATCTCCAAGGAGGAGCCAGAAGGAGCCCAAGAGAACGTGCCCCCATATTTACCCAGGGAGATCAGCGACTCGTAGTTCCCCTTCATCACGTTCTTGTACAGCTCCTTCTGCCACTCCTCCAGCTTCTCCCATTCCTTGTCGTTGAAGTAGACGGACACGTCGTCAAATGTCACCGGCACCTGGATCACAAGAGCACTGGTTCAAGGGCTGCCTCCCTCCCCAGGAGCCCAGAGACAGCAGCTCCCCCTCGGACACAGCCAGGCTTCAGCTCCTTCACGGCCATCAACCAGTTGGTTCTTACATTTATACAACTCCTGGGCAGGTATTTCTGTGGCATTAAAGGTCTCAGCCAAATGGATGGCTCCCAGTGAAGAATCCAGACTTTGGTACTTCCCAAAGGACCCCAAGCTCCTCCTCTCGGTCCCTGCACTCTGCAGAGTGACCAGGCTTGGAGGGACCACAAAGGACAGAAAACCTGGGTGCTGGGCTGGACTCATCCCTATGGATGAGCTGACGTAACGCCCGGATTCAATTACCCCTGAACTCCAGGGAAAGCTCTACCCAGGCCTGCAGGGCTCCCTGTTATCCTTGGTTACTGTGTGCCCACCAGCCAGGAGCAGGCCATGGATTCCCAGCCTGTTTGCCAAGGAATAATTCCCAAGGATAAATCCAGGACGTGGAAACTGTGCCGTGTGGGAATGCAGCTCTTCAGAGGGAAATGTGGTGCTTCACCTCTGCTCCCCGACTGCACTAATGAGGTGCAGGGTCCGAGCCCCCCTTTTCTCAGCCCTCTCCACTCTCTCCAGTCACAATCCCTTTCCCCTGGTCCCATCTGCAGACTTTCTTTTAGTGGGAAGATCATGAAAATTCAAGTAGGAACTGAATATTGATGGTGGGCTCCTTCCAGAGCTCGGCTAATCCCAGGGAACTCATCTGCCCTCCCCAAATCCCAGAGCTTTCTCCTTCCCCAGGCTGGGAGACTTTGCAGCACCAAGGTGGTCAAAGAGAAAGAACCACTAAATCTGGGGTGGTTTTGTTCAAATGGTGGTATAAAAAAATAAGCAAAAAAAGCATACATGGCTCCCGGGCTGTGCAGAACTGAAACCTCCAGCCTGAGCACCGGGATGTCGCCCTGGGTCCTGCATCCCACTGTACTTTAGTCCCAGAGGGGGATGAGCTGGGAAGGAGCAGCTCCAATGGGGAGCAACTCACCCGTGCCAGGGCTGTCCCCGCTCACCCCCCTCAGTCCTGCCCTCCGTGAGCATTTCGGGTGCAGACCCCGCACCCCAGGACACCGTTACCTTGGGGACTTCCCCCTTCCTGCCCGGGGGCAGCCGCAGGATCCAGAAGTTCCTGTTCTTGAGCAGGTTCTCCATGTTCTCCAGGCGCCGCTGGAGCAGCCCGTACTCCTGGATGAGGGTGCCCAGTGCCGCACACTTGCTCTCCAGCTGGTTCCCCAGCTCCGCCGCCGTCTTCTCGCAGTCGATCAGCTTCTTCTCGGCCATCCCCGTGCGACCCTCCAGGTCGAGCAGGCGGGTGGAGTGGGAGTCCACCTTCCTCTCCACGGCCTGCACGGCCGCCACCACGGTCAGGGACAGCTCAGCCGTCTGCGTCTCCCGCTCCGAGGTGCGCTCGGGGCCGGCCGGCGGCCGCAGGGGCGAGGGGCAGCGCGGCCGCACCGGCTCCGGAGCCTGCGGACACAGGGGTGCGGGGTCAGGGTGGGGGGCACCCCCCCGGGGTGGTGGGGAACCTCGCGGGGTGATGGGGAACCCCGCGGGGTGATGGGGAACCCCCCCAGAGGGATGGGACCCCCAGGGTGATGGAGAACCCCGCGGGGTAATGGGGACCCCCCCCACGGTGATGGGACCCCTGGGGTGACAGGGACTCCGCCGAGGTGATGGGTACCCCCCCCACGGTGACGGGAACACCCTCGAGGTGACGGGGACACCCCCGAGAGTGACGGGGATCCCCTCAAAGGTGATGGGGACCCCGCGGGGGGGCCGCTGCAGAGCCCGGGGGCGGCGGGGACGTCCCCGTGTCCCCGCTAAGCCGCTTACACCGGCCCCGTGCCGGTCCCACGGGACGGGCAGGACCCGCCGCGGCGGGGGCAGAGGGGGGGAGGTGACAGCGCGGGGCCGGGAGGTGACACTTGGGGGGGGGGGGCGGCGGGCGGTGACACGGGCCAGCCGAGCCCCGTTGCCATGGGCACGGCGGGGGGACACCCGGGGGGCCGCGGGCGCCCCGTCGCCATGGGGACCGGGCGGTGACACGGGGCGGGGGGTCGGTCCCGGGGGGCCGCGGGGCCCGGCGGCGAGCGGGGCGGGGGGGGCGGCGGCGCGGGCAGGCCCGGCCCCGACGGCAGCGCGGGCGCCGCCGGCCGCGGAGGCCCGTGCGGGCTCGGCGCGGCCCCGCCGCCCCCCCGGGGCCGGCCGTGGCGCTCCCGCGGTGCCCCCGGGGGGGCGGCGGCCCCCCCGCGCTGACAGCCCCCGCCGCCCCCCGCCCGCGCGGCCCCGACGGCGCGGCCCCGCAGCCCCGACGTGCGGCCCGCCGGCCGGGCCCGGCCCCGCGCCGGGGGGCGGCGGGCGCCCTTTACCTGAGCGGGGGCCCCCTCGGCCATGGCCCTTTGTTCCGTGCCCGGGGCCCCGGGGGCCGCGGCCGGGAGGATCCAGCGCCCGCTCTCCGCTTCACCTCCGCCCGCCGCCGGGCATCGGGCTGGGCGCGGGGCGGCGCGGCGGGGCGGGGGCGCGGCGGGGCGGGGCGGGGCGGGGGCGGCGCGGGCCGGGCGGCGGGGCGGGGGCGGCGGCGTTGGCTCCGGCCCCGAGCTCGGTGCGGTGCGGGCGCGGGCGCGGGTGCGGGTCCGGCTGCGGGTCCGGTCCGGCCGCGCCGCTGCCCCGCCGCGCCGCCAGGGGGCGCTGCCGCCGCGCGGGGCCGCGCGCGCGGGCGGGGCGGGGCGCAGCGGGGCGGCCGCGCCAACAGCGCCCCCTGGCGGCCCCCCGGCCGCCCCGCCCCGCCCCGTCGGGGCCCCCCCGGCGGCACCGCCCGGGAACGGGAACGGGAACGGGGGGCACCGGGGGGAATGGGGGGAGTGGGGGGAATAAGGAGGCTGGGGGGGACTGGGGCACACTGGGGAATAGGGGCGCTGCGAGCAGTGGGGGGGCACTGGGGACACTGGAGGGACTGGGGGAACAGGGGACTGGAGGGACTGGGAGGGGAAATAAGGAGGCTGGGGGGAGTGGGGAGACGGCGGACTGGAGGGATTGGGGAACAGGGGAGACTGGAGGGACTGGGGGAATAGAGGGCTGGGAGGAGGGAGGGGCAAGGGGACTAGGGGCAGTGGGGGGACTGAAGGGACTGGGGGCGACTGGGAGACTGGAGGGACTGGGGAAGGACTGGGGGGTACTGGAGGGAATAAGGGCCTGGGGGGAGTGAGGACGCAGGAGGACTGGGGGCACTGGGGGGACCGGAGGGACTGGAGACAATAGGGGGCTGGGCGGAGAGGGGACGGGGGGGACTGGGAGGGACTGGAGAAGGACTAGGGGAACTGGGGGACTGGCGGGAACGGGGGGGACTGGGGACACTGGGGGGGTCATCACCAGGGGGAACTGGGGCACTGGGGACGGGCTGCGGCGAACTGGGGCTCTTCCCGGGAGAACTGGGGCTCTCCTGGGGTAACTGGGGAGAACTGGGGCTCTCCTGGGGTAACTGGGCTGACAGGGAAGAGGCTGGGGGGAACTGGGGCTGTTCCCGGGGGGGCTGGAGAGAGAGCAGGGAGAGATCGAGGGGAACTGGGGAGTAGCTGCTAGGAACTGGGGGGAACTGGGGCTATTGTCGGGGGAACTGGGGAAGGACGGGGGGGAACTGGGGAAGGACGGGGGGGAACTGGGGCTGTTCCCGGGGGAACTGGGCTGACAGGGGGCACTGGGGGGAACTGGTTTGACTGGGGTGGGGTGGCGCAGTGAGAGGGGCAAGTGGGAGAGACTGGAGGGCACCGGGCAGGCACTGGGGTGTGCTCGGTGCGACACCGGGGGCCGGGGAGGGGCCGGGGGTCGGCCCCAGGGCGGCTCCCCCGGCCCGTCCCCGCCCCGTCGGGCCCCCCCGCCCTTCCCCGCGGGCTCGGGCCCCGCGGGCTCTGAAATGGCGGCCGGAGGCGGCGGCGCCGTGGAAATGGACCCACCAACACCCCCGGCCCCCGGGACGGACCCCAGGGCGAGACCCCCAGGACGGGCCCCCCCACGGCCCCCCGCGCTGGACCGGACTCTCCCCGACCCTCCAGTCCCCTCCAGTCCCATCCACCTCATCCTGTCTCATCCCATCCAGTCCTATTCTCTCCAACCCCACCCCATCCCTCTCCATCCTGTCATGCCCTGTCCAGTCTTATGCCGCTTTTATCCGTCCCACCACGTCCTGTCCCATCAATCCCCCCATCCCATCCCATCCCATTCCATCCCATCCATCCTGTCTCATCACACCCTGTCCCATCCCATCCCATCCCACTCCATCCACCCTGTCCCCATCCCATCCATCCTGTTGAGTCTTGCCTAGTCTTGTCATGTCCCATCCAGTCCCACCCTACCCATCCCACATCTTGTCCCATCCCATTCCAGCCCTCCTGTCCCATCCTGTCCCATCTCATCCCAGCCCATTCATCCTGTCCCCCTGTCCCCTATTCTATCCCACCCACCCTATCCCATCCCATTTCATCCCATCCATCCTGTCCCACCTCATTCCATCCCCGGGCCATCCCATCTGCCCTGTCCCATCCCTTCCTGTTCTGGCACAGCCCCTGTCACACGGCCCCCCTGCCAGTCCGGACTTTGGGGACCCGGGGTGACAATGGGGGGAAGTTGGGAACAACAAACACGGGGAAGGGCAGGAAACCCTTTGGTTTGTGGGAAAAGGGAGGGGATGAGGGGGGGACAGGATGAGGCACCCTGCCTTGGAGGGGTACAGGGGTGTGACAGCAGGTGGGGACCCCCAATTAGAGCCCCCCCTGTCCTGGGCTGTCCCAGGGATCTGCAACCCCCATCCAGGAGTGATCCATTGGCAGGGAACACCAGGACCAGCTCTGGGATGGAGGGTGTCACTGCCTGGAGTCTGTACATCCCAGTGCAACTGGGGAGTCTGGGATCCAGGACAGCTGCTGGGTGGAGGGAGTGCCTGATCCTGGCTTTGGGAGGCTCCAAGCTGTCCCTGTGGAGATCCAGGCGTTTTTATCAGGTGTGTTTATCCCCATGAGTGGATCTTCGTCGTGATCAGCCAGAGCGGGATCGGGATGCAGCCGTGTCCGTGGAGGGCCATGTCCTGTCCCCCGGGCTCAGGCCCCGTGTGTAGCTGTGTTTATACACACACAGCACACGTGTGCAATGTAGAGGGACATCCGTGTGTCCTCATGGAGTCTCCGTGTGCTTGGCCCACCACCAGCCCAGATCCCACAGGATGCTCTTCCCCGAGCTCTCCCCTTTTCCCTCCTCCTCCTCTTCCTCCCCACCACTGCGTGTGGGGCAGCCCCACCCCATCCCATCCGGGGGCTCTGGAGTGTGGGGGATCCTCGCTCTGGGGTCACTCACTCCGGCTCTGCAGGTACCTGGCATGGATTGGGATGGCAGGGGATCCAGCCTGGCCAAAGCCAAAGCCAGGGATGTGTGGGCCACAAGTGCCACATCCCCCCAGTGGCTCCAACCCACGGGCTGCCCCGTCCACCTCCCACATGTGGTCCCAAGCCGGAACAACCCCTCGGGCATTGCTGGAACTCTGGGGAGGCTCCGGTGGGTTTCTGCCAGGGAGACCTGGCAGAGGGGAACATCCCCCTGTGCTGGGCTCTGGCAGGAAGAGACACTGGGCTGTGGGGGAGCTCCTGGGAAGGGCAAAGGACCCTGTGTGTGGCACCAGCCGGGGCACCCTTTAAGGTCCCTTCAAACCCAAACCATTCTGGGATTCCACAATCCCAGCTCCAAAGCAGCCACAGCCACCGGCGCTTCTCCCGGCACGGGATATTCCGGCTCTGTCCCACCGCAGAGGGATGAGGGAAGTGACCCCTCATCCATCCACAGCCCTATCTGTGCGTGACACAGGTTTGGCTCACGGATCATAACCCCAAAATCTGCTTCCAGCAGAGGAAAAGGTAAAAACACGAATCCCAAATGCCGGACGCAGCACCCGGAGCAGCCTCGTTTGCCAGGCTTGGCTCCACGGATGCTCAGCTTGGCTTGTGCCGTTCACCTGTCCCACAAATTACCTGGAAAAGCTCCCACCAAACAACAGCCAGGAGCAGGGCGAGGGAGCTGCAGGAATCGGCAAGGGGCAGCCATGGCTCATCCCACACGGAATTCAGAGTGGAAACACTGTATTGACAGACTTTACAAAAGTTGTTACAAAACACGGTCACGAACCAGCAGCTGACGATACACAGCGAAGAGACACCACGTACAGGCACCTCGGAACAACACCAACAGCTCCAGAAGTCAACCAATATTTACACAAATGGCTGGAAAACTCTGGGCGTTTATCGCATAACATGGAAGTGTTTTAGAGCAACTGTGAAATATAGTGTCACACCTTTCCTTGTAGTATTATCATCATCATAATAATTAATAATAATAATAATAGTTCATAATAATAATAATATACTACTTCTAGGTTAACTAAAAACCAAACAGCTCTTTACAGGGGTTAGGAGAAGCTGCTTTCACTCGTCTGACTTACCTGAGTGAGACCAAACCCAGTTAAAAAACAGTAATAAAATCACCTTCACTGACAGGAGTCCGTGTGTCGGCCCAGCAGCGCCATCCCCTCGGGCCAGAGGGAAACCACAGCCTGGCTGGTGCCAGAGACACCCTTCCAAAGAAGGGAGACGTGATCCCACCACGCCTCCAAACGCTGCCCTTCCCGACTCCTCCTGCTCCAATGTCCTCAGCCCCTTCTCCTGCACCTGCTTTCTCTCACCTGGCTCTTTGCCGCGCTCTCCTCTCCGCTCTCCCGCCTTCCACAAACCCCGTGTCGTGCCCTAACCCACCTCTCTGCCTCGCCTCTCCTCCCTTCACCCCAATCCCGGCCTCGCAGCCTCTCGGGACACGGCGGCACGACGGGAGCGGGCGACCAGCTGCCTGGGAATGGCACCTTCCTTCCCTCCTCCCTCCTCGCGCTTCCAGCCTTGCAGTGAAACGAGTGGAAAAAAGAAAGCGAAAGCTTGTCACTCCTGAATATGCACAAAGATAGGTGGGGGAACACCTGCTAAATACGGGCCCCGGAGAATCGCTCGGGATTATTCTCTACAGGCAAAATCCAACCCTGCGCAGGGGCCGCCGCCGCGGCGGGACAGCCACGGGACCCCGCGGGGCCGCAGAGGTGCCTGGGCCGGCCGGTCAGAGTTTGTAAGAGGAATTCCTTGGATGCTTCACCAAAGCTTTTGTAGCATGACCACATGGATTAGCTGCGATACAAGTCACCCGCCATCATGCTGCGCCGTCACGGTCACCGCGAGCCCTCCTGCCCCGGCCCCACCTCGGCTACTGCGTAGTCTCTTTTTTCACGCAGAAATGCTTGGTTTGGGTCCCCGCCGACTCCAGGCCCAGCTGCGAATCCTCCGTGGGCCGCGGGTTGCGGGAGTGGATTTTCTGGTGGCAATTCAGGGACTCTTTGTAGCGGAAGTGCTTCCCGCAGACGGGGCACTGGTAGGGGGTCTCCCCGGTGTGCACCCGCCAGTGCTTGAGCAGGTGATCCCGGCGGATGAAGCTCTTCCCGCACTCCGTGCACTGGTAGGGCCTCTCGCCGGTGTGGATGCGCTGGTGGCGGATGGCTTTGGAGAGGTCTCGGAAGTCCTTCCCGCAGTAGGTGCACGTCAGCGGCCCGTCGCCCTTCCCCGTGTGCAGCTTCTGGTGCAGGATAAGACTCACTTCCAGGCTGAAGCTCTCCTTGCACTGGGAGCAGGTGTAAGGCCTCTCCACCATGTTGTTCACCTGGTGCCTGACGAGGCCGTACTTGAAGCCGGAGCCCTTGTCGCCGTCGGGGCGCTTGGACGGTTTGGAGCGGGAGGAGCCCTGGCCCTTGGGCTTGGATTTCTGCCAGAGGCCCTCGCCGCGCTCCAGGGACGTGCAGGCCTCCTCCCTGGCGTGCGCCTTCTGGTGGGTGGCAAAGAGCTGCTTGTCCAGGAAGCTCTCCCCGCACTCGCAGCAGATGTAGGGCCCCTTTTCCGCGGCTCCTTCCTCGGGAGGATCCTTCTTGGCCAAGTCCCTCCTGCGGCGCACGGAGCGTCTCAGCCCGTTGCCCGCTGCCGTTCGCTGCTGCGGGTCCGACCCGCTCTGGCTCTTGCTGCTCGACTGCATCTCCTCCTCGGGGCCGGAAAAAACCTCTTCCCACTTCCCTGCCAACGACCTGGGAAGCTCCAGGCTCTCGGGGCCTTCCTCGTCGCAGGGCTGTTCGTCTGGCAGAGCAGAGCACTCGTCATTTGCGGAGACAAGAACCGGGTCGTTATTTACACCACAATTCCCCCGGGGCACGGGTGGGCTCTGCTGTGCACACCCAGCTCAGTGCCTGGCACTGCTGTCCCAGGACACAGGCAAGGCCAAAGGGATTTGACTTGGAATCACAGAATTGTTAAGGCTGGAAAAGCCCTCGGAGACCATCGAATCCAACTGGTCCCCCAGCACTGCCAAGGCCACCACTGACCATGTCCCCAGGTGCCACATCCACATTGGCTTTTAAATCCTTCCAGGGATGGGGACTCCACTCCTGCCCTGGGCAGCCTGTTCCAATGCCTGACAATCCTCTGGGGCAAGAAATTCTCCCAGTATCCAACCTGACCCTTCCTTGGTGCAACTTGAGGCCGTTCCCTCTCCTCCTGCCCCTTGTTCCCTGGGAGCAGAGCCCGACCTCCCCCAGCTCCCCCCTCCTGTCAGGGAGTTGTAGAGAGTGAAAAGGTCCCCCCTGAGCCTCCTTTTCTCCAGGTTGAGCCCCCCCCCAGCTCCCTCAGCCACTCCTAGTGCTCCAGACCCTTCCCAGTTCCCTTCCTTTCCCTGGACACGCTCCAGCACCTTCCTGCCCTCAAATATATTATAATATGATATATATAATCTAGCTATATATAGCTGGCCAAAGGGAAAAAGTGGGTTCCTCAGCAGGAGATGTAAAAAGACAGGTCTTGTGGTTTAGGATAAAGGCAAAAGAAATTGTGGAAAGGGGAGTAAAATCTCTTTTCCTCATGGGTTTGTACAGTGCCTGGGGCCGAAGGGTTTCCCATGGTATAAACAGCGACTCAAAGTAACTATCAACACTGAAATTCTGGAAAAGCATCATCCAGAACAGCTGAGCTGCTCCTGGGAATGAGAAGCAAAAGCACATCCAGACAAGGGACACTTCCCGAAGCAGGTCAGTGCACTCACATGTACTGGGGACCTCCATGCTCTCCTCTTCCTCAGAGCCCTCGTGGCTCTCAGCCAGAGTCTCCTCGTATTTACCCCACGAGCTCTCGTCGGGCCCAGGGAAGAAAAACTCTGCACGAGAGAAAACAACAGGAGTCACACTCCCACCTCCCAGCTGCTTCAGGGGATTCCGGCAGAGATGGATGCAGTGGGTGGGGGACAACTGGGAAAGTCCCCCTGCACCCGGGGACAGAGAGGACAGAACCGCCCCACATCTGCTTCCACCTCCCCACCTGGAAGGACTTAAAGATCGCCCATGAATCGGATCTCAACCCCAGAGAGTCCCGGGGATCTCGTGGCTCACCACTGCTGGGGTCTGTGGGGGATTCCCCTGCCTCGGAGTCCTCCTGCTCCTCGGCGTTGGGATCCTCTCCCTGCTCAATCCGGGACAGCATGTCAGGCTTGGAGATGGCAGCGTCTGCACAGAAAGAGAGGATCAGGATGTTTCCCCCGCCCTCGTGGGACAGGAACTCAGACCTTCACCCACCAACCTTCCTTCGCTGGGGAACGGAAAGAGAGAGGCTTAGGAAGGTGCTCCCACCCGTGTGCACCTCTCACCTTGTGTGGGCCCTGGACTGAGCGATGCAGGAGCACACTCTGCTCAGGTGAGGAGCAACTCCCAGCCTGCAGTGTGAGGAGGAGAATAAGAAAATGCATCTGCACTCACCTCCAGGCTTCCTGTCTTCTCCTCCCTAAGATCCATTGCAATGGGGACTTCAGCTTGGGGACAGCACCAGAGCTGTCAGCAGTGCCCTCCCCGTGTGGTTCCCTCCAGCCAGGACTGCTCCTCCTACTCCTCCAAGCCACAGGCTGCTCGTGGATTTTGGGAAAGGGGACAATCACCTTCTCCCCTCGAGCAGAGAGCGGAAAACTTCATTTCCAGACACGTGTGAGTCTCTGGGGATTAAATTCCACCCCTGCTCTGGTGGATCTGTTGGCCTTACACCAGAGCCAAACCCCTAGACCTTGTTTCTCAAAGGAAACCTTTGGATAAAGCACAGACACGTTCTTCTAAGCTCCAGGCTCAGGTGCCCAGATCCCCTTCATTGGGACCGTTATGTTCCCGTGCCTCAGGAACAGGACACAGGATGGGTTTGTAAACAGGAGAATGAGGGGCAGTGTTTACACCTCACCTTCTTCCCTGGTGCACAGGGACTGCACAAGACCTCTGTTCAAAGAAATAAAGGAAGAAAGGAGGAGAAAATCCAGGACAAAAGGCCTGGATTGGGCAGAGCTGGATGGAGGGAGGTGGGTGAGCCTGCCCTTGGCACAGGGAAGTGCCTGAGTGCCAGGGACGGTGTCTGTGCTCCCACCCACTGTCCAGCCAAGGCAAGGTCATTTCTGAGAACATGTTGTGAAGGCAACATGTTCCCCAGAGGGAATTCCTGCAGCCAGGACTGGCAGGAGCGAGTGGAGTGCATTCCTTCAGCTGGGAATGCTGTGCCCTGAGCTGCTGAGGGGAAAGCAGAAGGCAGAGCTCAGCTTCGCCTGCAGCTTCTCCCCAGCTCTGCCCCAGCAGCAGATCGAGCAGGACTCACTCCCTGGGGCCAGACAGAGCACCCAGGCAGCACTGGCAAACCTCTTCCTCATGGAAGAGCCATGGAAAGGGCTGGAAGGACCCTCAGAGGCAGGGCACAGGGCACCCCTCTGCTGCCCGAAGGGGCCAGCAGGCTGATGCACCCAGAGCAGTGGATCTGTGGGCCTTGGCATGACAAAGAAACTCCTCTATTCCTCAGCTTTGCCTGGATTGAGGGTCCTCTCACTTCCCCACCTCCTCCTCCTCCTCCTCCTCACAACCCAGGTGCTCTCCTGGCCACGGGGGCCACCAGGGACGTCTTTCCACCCATCCCCTGAGCTGGTGAGGGCTGAGCTCATTGCCAGGGCTGTGCAACACCTTCCCAAACCAGCACACCATCCCCCTCCCCGCTCCTGCTGGACGCGGCGCTGCTTCCATCCATCCACCAGTTCCCGGGAAAAGCTGGTGCCCCAGGGGGCTCAGGGCAGAGCCCAGCCCGTGGTTACCCATGGAGATGACGGCCTCGTAGTTGCCTTTCATGATGTGCCTGTACAGCTCCTTCTGCCACTCGTTCAGGCTCTTCCACTCCTCCTCCGAGAAGCTGAACGAAGCGTCGTTGAAGGCCACGGGGACCTGCATGGGGAAGCATCAGAGGGTTTGTTTCTTGTTTAAGGAAACACCTGGCAGTGTTTTCTCATTCAGTTTTCTCCTTCAAGCTCCTCAAGCGTCGCACAGGACAGTCCCAGGCGGGAGTAGTCAGTCCTTCCCACGCGCCTCATCCCCCAAGGGACACAACAGGGACTTCCCCTGTCCCCTTCTGTCACCTCCCCCCTGCTCAGCTTCCTCCTGCCTTCACAGGCTCTTTTTCACCTCATTTTCGACACAATTCGGCTGCTCATCGCCTGCTCATCGCCCCTGGGCAGGCACCATTGGTGTTCCCAAACCCCCCAGGCACACGGGGCTGAGCCACACAATTCCATGTGACCCGAGCACAGCTCCCCCCTGAGGAGTCTGTGACCCCCCCAGCGTGTTTTGGGAGGATCACACGTACATAATGAGGAGAGTGTAATTAACACAACTCTGTAACTAACACAATGAGAGGTCTGTAATTAACACAATGGGACCTGTGCTGGTGCTTCTCTCCCAGTGCCGAAGGGAAGGCCCTGCTGTGGGGGAGCTGTTGCTCAGCACTGCATCTGCCCCAAAATGGGACTGGAGAGCAGGGATACGGGGCTGGGAGCACTGGGTATGGGGGCTGGGAGTGCAGGGCATGAAGCTGGGAGTGCAGGATATGGGGCTGGGAGTGAAGGGATATGGGGCTGGGAGTGCAGGATATGGGGCTGGGGGTGCAGGATATGGGGCTGGGGGTGCAGGATATGGGGCTGGAAGTGCAGGATATGGGGCTGGGGGTGCAGGATATGGGGCTGGGGGTGCAGGATATGGGGTTGGGAGTGAAGGGATATGGGGATATGGGACTGGGGGTGCAGGGATATGGGGCTGGGAGTGCAGGGATATGGGGCTGAGAGTGCAGGATATGGGTCGGAAAGCACAAGACACGGGGCTGAGTGCAGGCTGTGGGTTTGTGAGCTCTGGAGACAGGGCCATGAGCACAGGGCATGGGGCTGTGAGTGCAAGACACGGGTCTATGAGCAGGGGGCTGCGAACGAGGATACAGGGCTGTAAGCTCAGGCTACGGGTCTGTGAGCACAGGGCACGGGGCTCTAGCCCAGCAGACGTGCAGACCAGCCCCGTTTTGCAGCAGGGAGCATCGGGGAGCATCGGACCGTTACCTTGGGGACTTCCCCTTTCGCCCCCGGAGGCAGCCGCAGGATCCAGAAGTTCCTGTTCTTGAGCAGGTTCTCCATGTTCTCCAGGCGCTTCTGCAGCTGCCCGTACTCCTGGATGAGGGTGCCCAGCGCCGTCCACTTGCTCTCCAGCTGGTTCCCGAACTCCACCGCCGTCTTCTCGCAGCCGATCAGCTTCGTCTCGGCCATCCTCATCCTGCCCTCCAGGTTCATCAGCTGGGCCGCCTGCGTGTCCACCTTCCTGTCCACGGCCTGGATCTCGGTGACGAGCGTCAGGGAGATCTCCGCGGCGGGCAGCTCGGCCTCGCCGCCGGGGCCCTGCTCGGGGGCGGCCAGCGGCTGCTCCAGGCCCAGCTCCTGCGGCTCCATCATGCTCTCCAGCTCCTGCGGGGACAGCGCGGCGCTCAGCGCGGGGACGCGCCCGCACCCGCGCCGGGGGGGGGCGGGGGGGGGCGGGACGCAGGGCCGGGGCGGCGGGAGGAGGCGGCGGGCGGCGGGGGCGGGGAGGGGGCCGGGCAGCGCTTACCTGAGCGGGGGCCCAGTCGGCCATGCGGCGCGGGCGGTGCGGGGCGGTGCGGGCGGCGCGGGGCGGGCGGCGCGGGGGGCGCGGGCGGCGGCGGCGGCTCAGCAGCGGCGGGGCGGGGCGGCCATGCCGGGGGCGCGGGGCGCGCTGGGAGCGGCGGCGCCGCCGCGGCGCCCCCTGGCGGCGGGCGGACCGGCGGGACCCCCATTGGGCGGGGCGCCGGCAGGGGGCGGGGCCTCGCGTCACGCGCGCTCCCGCCGCCGCCGCCCGTGGCGGGGCCGCGCGCGGGGCGGGGGCGGGGGCGGCACCGGGAGGGGACGGGGACGGGGACGGGACGGGGACAGGTGCGGCACCGCCACCGCGGCTCGACGGGACTCGCCGCCCCCGCCACGGGCACCGCCCGCGTCCCGCCGCCCGGCCGCGCGCCGTCATCCCGGTGCGGCATCGCTGAACCCCCCGCCCACCGGGGAGGCCTCGGAGGGAGCAGCACCGGGAGCGGTACTGGGAGCAGGCGCTGCTGCGGCTCCCCGAGGACCGGGACGGGGCCGGTGCCATGAAGGAGGACCACCAGCATCCCATCGACCTGGGTGAGGCGCCGGGGCCATCCCGGCACCGGTCCCGGTGCTGCCGGTCGTGGCCTGGCCGTGAGCGCGGAGATCACGGGGTGGCTCCACGGGCAGCTGTGGTGGGGGATGTGAACACCGGCCTCTTGCGAGCAATGGCATCTCCGGTGGGGTCTCCGGTGGCATCACCGGCCGTCCCTCCTCTTGCCTCCGTGACAGGTTACGCCGTCACCAAACCCGACATCCTGGCCGAGGTGGAGCGAGGGGACGAGGTGCTGGAGGTGGCCGTGGGGCACTACGGGGAACACCAGAGCCCCCGGCCACGTGCGGCGCCCGCCGGCCCCTCCCGGGGTGAGCGGGACATGGGCACAGGTGGGACTGGGAACAGGGATCGGGTGATGGGTCGGATCTTGCCAAGCCCGGTGAGGAGGCCACTCCCCAACTCACTCTTGTCTCCTCAGGGGACTGGCTGGGGAAGGAGGTGAAGATTGAGGAGGGGGTGTCCCCACCCCCCTGCTCCCACCACACGGGCCCTGCCGAATTCCTCACCCCGCTGCAGGAGCAGGGCTGCAGCTACTGTGGCGTCTCCAAGCCGGAGCCGAATCCCGCTGCGGGTACTGGGGGGTTCATCACCTCCCTCCCCGCCTTCGAGAGCCGCCGCTGCCGGGCGGGGGAGCCGCCGCTGGAGTGCCCCGAGTGCGGCCGAGGCGTTGGGCAGAAGCCGGACCTGGTGCGGCACCGGCTGGCACGCGGCGTGGAGCGTGGCTATGGCTGCGGCCACTGCGGGAGGGGCCTCGCCGAGCCGGCGGGGCTGCGGGCCACGAGCAGCACCCACCGCCCGGGCCCCTGTGCCGGCCACGCCCTGGGCACGGCCGAGGGGGCCACGGCGGCACCGCGCAAGGAGCGCAAGGAGCTGTCGCTGACGGAGAAGGTGCGGGTGCTGGAGATGCTGGAGGGACCCAAGGTGTCGCAGAGCGAGCTGGCCAAGCGCTTCGGGGTGTCGCAGCCCCAGATCTGCCGCATCATCAAGAACAAGGAGCGCATCCTGAGCGAGTGGCAGCGCAGCGGAGACCCCGAGCGCAAGCGCAAGCGGGAGGGCAAGGACGCGGCGCTCGAGGCCGCGCTGCTGCGCTGGGTGGAGGGCGCCCACGCCGCCGACCTGCCCGTGGGCCGCCCGCTGCTCCAGCTCAGGGCCAAGCACCTGGCAGGGGCGCTGGGCCGGCCCGGCCCCGAGCCTGGCGGCGGGTGGCTGGCGCGCGTTGCGGCCTTCAAGAAGCCGCCGGCAGAGAAAGGGGACGCAGAGCAGCTGCCGGCGGAGCACTGGGCCGGCACAGTGCTGCCCGCGCTCCTCCGCGGCTACGCACCCTCCGAGATCTTCTCCTGCGGGGAGGCCGCGGTGCCGCTCCCGGCCGGCTGCCCCGGCGAGCGGCTCACGCTGCTGCTCTGCGCCAACGCCAGCGGCTCCGAGAAGGTGCCGCTGCGGGCGCTGGGGGAGAGCCCCCGACCGCGCTGCCTGCGCGGCGTCAACCTGGAGCAGATGCCGTGGAGTTACCGCGCCGGCAGCCTGGGCGGCCTGACCGCCCCGCTCTTCGCCGAGTGGCTGCGGGAGTTCAACGAGGGGATGCGGCGGCAGGGGAAGAGCATCCTCCTGCTCCTCGCCAAGCACGAGGCGCACCCCTACCTCCAGCTGTCCAACGTCAGGATGGTCTTCGTCCCTCCGGCCGCCGCCCTGGCACAGCCCCTGGACCGCGGCATTGCCGGCGACCTCAAGGGCCACTACCGGCGCCGGCTGCTGCGGTGGCTGCCGGCGGAGCGCGGCACGGGGCAGCCCACCCTGCTGGATGTGCTGCACATGCTGGCACAGGCCTGGGGCGACGTGTCCCCGGGGCTCATTGCCAGCTGCTTCCGTGCCGCCGGCTTCGTCCCTGACACTGGTGCTGAGGCCGCGTCCCTCAGCCTGGCACACGGGCTGCTCGGCCGGGAGCAGCTGGAGCGTGGCGGGGAGCCGGCGGAGGCGGACGGGGATGAGGGGATGGTGGAGGGCGAGGACGCGGCAGAGCTGGCGGCTGTGCCACCCTGCCCCTCCGAGCGGGAGGTCTGGAGGAGCCTGGCCACGCTGCGGCGGTACCTGGAGTGCCAGGCCACCTCGCCAGACCTCTTCCAGGCCTTCTACGAGCTGGAGGACGCGGTGCACATGGTGTCGGCCAGCGCCGGCCGGGCCCTCCATGGGGACACCCCTCCCAAGCAGTGAGGGGGGCGGCTGGCACGTGCCCAGACCTGCTCATGCCCGGTGCTCACCGGGGCTGTCACCGGCCCGGCCTGGCCACCATCCCCTGCAGTTGTGCCGTGGGGTTTGCTGTGGATCTGTGTGGCCCCGTGGGGTCACCATACACGGGGCCTGCGGAGCCGCCGCGCTCTGGGTGTCACCCGTGGGGCAGTGCCAGGGGCACAAACCTGCTTCCAGAACCTTCTCCAGAGGGGTGGCTGCTGCAGCCAAAGGGAGCCGGCGTGGAGCTGCTGCCGGCAGGGATTTACCTTGAGTGGGGTAGTTGTGTTTGCCGTGGGGGGCTGTGGGTGGTGCTGGGGTGTCCCCGTGCCAGGGACAATGGCTCCTTCCCAGGGGAGACCGGGTGCCACCGGCTGCTGTCACCACGTGGTGCCTGGAGGTTTGTAACAGGCATTAAAAGGTTGGAATTCAGCTGGTGCATGGCTGGTGGGTGTTGTGTTTTACCATCACATCTGCTGGGAGCAGCGGGACCACCTCAAACCCAACCCCAAACCTCCCCTTCTCCTCCCCTGCCCTGGGAAACCGTGGCTGCTCCTGGGCCCCCACAGCACCCCAACCTGTGCCATCCCCACCCAGGTGCCAGGCAAGCAGCACCCGGGGAGGGAGGATGCATTTGTGGGGTGCAGCAGGGGGATCCCCGTGGGGATGCACAGTCACAGGTGTGGGGATGCAGGGATGGGGGTGCACGGGGGGGATCCCCATGAGAATAAACAATCACAGGTGGGCAAGCAGGACCCGGAGGGGGGGAATAGAGTTATGGGGTGCACTGGGGGCATACAGCATCATGGGAGTAAACTTAGCACCCAGGAGAGGGTGAGGGGGATGCAGGGACAGGGCGAAATGGGGGGCGACCCCCACAGGGATAAACCACCACAGGTGTACCCGCAGCCCCCTGGGGGGTGGGACTCAGGGATGGACCATCCAGGGGGGATTCCCACGGGGATACACCACCACGGGGGTACACGAAGCATCCAGGAGAGGGTGAGTGGGATGCAGGGACGGGGTGCACGGGGGATCCCCACGGGGATACGCCATCGCCCTCGGTACCGCAGCGCCCTCGGGGGTGGGACGCAGCGACAGGAGTGCCCGGGAGGATCCCCACGGAGGTACCCGCAGCCCCGTCGGGGGGTGGGATGCAGGGATGCTCCATCCCGGCGGGATCCCCACGAGGGTACACCCGCGCGGCGGTACCCGCGGGCCCCTCGGCGGCGGGATGCAGGGATGCCCCATCCCGGGGGGATGTCCCCCGTCCCCCCCCGCCGTCCCCGCCCCCCGTCCCTCCACGGCGGGACCACCAGGGGGGGCCCACGGGCGGCTCGGTCGCGCAGGGCCCGCGCCGGCGCTCGGAGGAAATGAAGGCGAGTTCCGCCGAGGCGGGAGCCATTACCCGCCGCCGGACCTGAGCCCCCCCTCCCGCCGCCGCCGGGGCCCCGCCGCCGCCCCCCGCCCCCCACAGCCCGCCCCGGCACAGGTAAGCGATGCCCCGGGGCCGGGGGGGGCTGCGGCGCGGGGGGAGCCGCCGGAGCGGGGCCGGTGCCTGCCCCGCGCCCCCCCGAGGGGGATCCCGAATGGTGGGGGGGGTCCGCGGGGCAGGCACCGGCCCCGCCGCTTTGTCCCCGGGAAGAGCAGCGCGAACAAAGCCGGGGGGGTGCCGCTCGCAGCCCCCCCGACCCCTCCCCCGGGGCGCCCCGAGGCCGCGGGGGTGGGCGCTGCCCTGGGGTCGGGGGGCTCGGGGGGTGAGGAGGGGGCTGGGGGCTCGGTAGGGGCGGCAGGGGCACGTCGGGGATGGGGGGTTTGCAGGGGGTCGGCGCTGTGCTCCTGGGGTTCGGTGGGGGGCGGTGGGAGGTTGGGGTGGGCGCCGTGGTGGAGGGCTTTGCTGCGGTCCCGAGGTCCTCGCTGGGAGCTGGAGGGGTGCGCACCTGGCCCAGGTGTGCACCGTGACCCCTGGCCCAGGTGTGCATCATAGCCAAGGTCTTTATCGTGGCCTTGCAGCACTTGCCATGGCCAAGGTTCTTGACGTGGTCCCAGGTTCCTCATGGGGAGCTTGGGGTCTTCACCACGGCTGAGATCTGCACCACGGCCAAGGTCTTTGCCATGGTCCCAGGGTGCTCACTGGGAGCTCCAGATGTGCACCATGGCTCAGGTCTTCACCATGGCCAAGGTCTTTGCCACGGCCCCAGGGTCCTCATGGGGGGCTTGAGGTGTTCACTGTGGCCAAGGCCTTCAGCATGGCCCAGGCCTTTGCCACATCCCCAAGATCCTTGTGGGGATCTTCAGGTGTTCACCATGGCCAAGGCCTTCTCCACGGTCTGTGTCATGGCCTTGCAACACTTGCTGTGGCCTTGATCACTGCCATGGTGCCAAGATCCTCACTGGGAGCTTGAGGTGCTCACCGTGGCCAAGGCCTTCCGTAACGCCCGTGCTGTGGCCTTGAGGCTCTCACCACGGTTCTGGGCTTCACCATGACCCCAAGGTCCTCACCGGGAACCTGAGGTGCTCACTGCGCTCTTGAGGTTCTCACCATGGCCAAGACCCTTGCCAAGGCCAGCCTTGACTGAGGTCTTCACCATGGCCTTGAGGTGCTCACCTTTGCATGGCCCAGTGACCTGTCCTTAAGGTCACGGTCAGTGCTGTGGCCCCGACGCCCTTGCTGGGAACCTCAAGTGCTCATCACGTCCAAGGCTTTCCCTGTCATGGTCAACATTGCCATGAGACCCTCACCATGGCCGTGAGGTGCCCCCCATCACCCTCAGCCTGGCCCTGAGGTGCTCCTCGGCACCCTCGGAGGCACCCGCAGCACGTGCCGTGGCCGAGGCGCTCACCACGACCCCTCACTGCGGTCCCGGCGCTCTCCACGGCCACGTCCCTCTCCGTGGCCCCCGTGGCAGCCGGCTGGGGGCTCCCGGGTACCTTTGCTTGGAGAGAGCCGGGGGCTCCCTCGCCGTCACCCCGCGCTGCCACCACCCACCGCTGCCCTTTCCTTTTCTCCCCTCCCAGGTGCTCCCGAGCCGGGGCGAGGGGATGCGGCGCGCCCGTGCCGCGTGCTGTGCCGAAGCGGCTCTTTAGATCCTCCCCGGCCCAAGCCTCCCATGCCATGGATGCCTCCGGGGCTCTTGCTTCGGCTCCCTCCTCCGCGGCTCCCTCGGGCTCCCGCAGCCCCATGTTCCCCCCCGGAGCTGACAGAGAGGAGTGGGGACCGAGGTTCAATTGTGCCCCTTCCACCTCTGCCGCAGCCTCGCAGGCGATGCCAGCGTCTGGCCGGAAGAGGAAGGCCAACTTCTCCAATGACGAGACCGAGACGCTGGTCTGGAATGTGGTCCGGCATTTCAGCGCCCTGTACGGGTCCGAGGCCCTGCGGGCTCACCCCGTGCGGCGGAAGCAGCTCTGGACCCAAATCCAAAGCCGCGTCAACTTCCTGGGCTACACCGAGCGCTCCATCGACGACCTCAAGCACAAGTGGCGCGACCTGCGGCTGGACGTCAAGAAGAAGATCACCTCCAAGAAGCACCTGCCCATGAACCGCGCCGGGGGGCCGCTCCACAAGCCGCGCCTCACGCCCCTGGAGAAGATGGTGGCCTCCACCTTCCTGCAGGCCAGCCACGACTCGGAGCCCGAGATCATCCTGGACCCAGGTCAGTGGCGCTGGGGCTCCGGGCAGGGGGGGGTTGGAGCGTCGGCATTCCTGCTGCGCCCTCCGAGGGGTGTCTGGTGTTTGCCGGGTGTTGGTGTTCCTTGATGGATTCTGGAAGGAGACTTTGGGGTTTGTGTTGGGATTATGGCATCCAGCAGAGCCGTGGGCCTGTTGTGCCCAAGTACCAAACTGCTGGGGTTGGGAGCTGTGTGCGCTGGGATTAACAACCCACTGCGGAAATAACCTGGGATCAGCGAGTCGTAGAAGTCGTGGGATGGTTTGGGTTGGAAGGGACCTTAAAGCTCATCTTATTCCAGCCTCCTGGCAATGGTCAGGGACACCTTCCTCTATCCCAGGTTGCTCCAAGCCCTGTCCAACTTGGCTTTGGACACTTCCAGGGATGGGGCAGCCACAGCTTCTCTGGGCAACCTGTGCCCAGATCAACAGGATCAACGGGAGCATCTCAAACTTTGCAGAAGCGGGTCTTTTTTGTTCTTCTTTCTTTAATTTGGTGTTCTTTGATCCCAGAGTGGCCCCTCTGATTTCACTGGGGGCATTTCAGGGCTTGATCCACGTGGTCCAGACTTTGGCGTCTCTGATCCAGACGTGCATCATTTGCCGAGCAGGAGATCTCCAGGCTGAAGGAAGTCCTATGGAATGACTGGAGCTGTGTCAGGGCAGGGTTAGGTTGAATATCAGGAGAAGGTTCTTCCCCCAGAAGGTGGTTGGGTGCTGAACAGGCTCCTCAGGGCAGTGGGTGCGGCTCCAAGGCTGCCAGAGCTCCAGGAGTGTTTGGACAACGCTCTCAGGAACAGACTGGGATTGTTGGGGTGTCCTGTGCAGGGCCAGGAGTTGGACTGGATAATCCTTGGAGGTCTCTCCCAACTCAGGATATTCCATAATCTGTGATTCTGTGGCATTAAGGGATGCCACCCCTCAGGGTTCAGGATGGTGCTGGGGGAGGTGATCGTGAGTGACCAAGGCCCTACAGGGCGTCTGTGCCTCGGTGCCACCATGTCCCCCCTGGGCTGAGGCCGGATCCCGTGTGTCCCATAGATCTGTTCTTCCCTGGCGCGTCCAAGCAGCCCTTCATGCACCTGCAGCCCGGCGTGAGCCACCCCAGCATCTACATCGACACCAACGGGCAGCCCTCGGCCCTGCCGGACGTGGAGGGCTCGGCCGCGCCGCGGCTGCCGGGACAGAGCCCCGACCCCGCCGGCGGCACCGACTACGGCCGTGGAGAGGGGCAGGGCAGCTCTGGTACGTGGGAACGGGGGGGTGTGCTGGGAGTGGGGTTTGGGTGGAGATCCTCTGGGTCGAGATCTGCTGGGTCCAGATGGAGATCCGCTGGGAGCAGAATCTGGATGGAGATCCGCTGGGTCTGGATGGAGTTTTGCTGGGAGTGGGGTTTGGTTGGAGATCCACTGCCAGTGGAGTCACGATGGAGATCCAGTGGGATCCGTGTGTCAGTGAGGGCCCAGGGGCTGGGCCAGCGCTGGGTCTCACCAGAGGTTTCCTCTTCTCTTCCAGCCGAGTCGGGGCCGGAGCTGCGGACTCCAGACGTGTCGGCCATCTCCCCATCCCTGCGGAACGAGTCCCTGGTCTCCTACGCCTCCATGTCGGAGGAGGAGGAACGGGAAGGCCGGGAGGTGGAGCGTGGCCACGGCGGGGCCGTGGGGATGCAGCCGGGGCCCGAGGCCCCCATGTCTGCGGAGGAGGACATGAAGCTGTCCCGCCAGGCCATGCTGATCCGCCGCTGCAGCTCCCAGGGCTCCGTCACCTCCCTGCCCGAGGACTCCCTGAACCCCGCGGACGCTCACTCGGACTGGGGGCACGAGGGGGTGTCCGACCTGCCCGCCCTGGGCCGCGGGATGGACTCGGCGCATCCCGAGGAGCAGGCGGGGGGCCCGGGCCCGGAGATGGGCGCCTTGCCCAGGGTACTGATGGGGCCCACCTGGGAGAAGGCCCCGGCGGACGAGGAGCCCCCGGCCCGTTCCCCCCTCCACGGCGCCCTGACCGAGGAGTCGCTGCCCTCCTCCGCCTCCCCCCCAGGAGACGCCCCGGCCGCCCCCGGCCCCCCGCGCGGGCTGGGCTGCTCCCGGCTGCGCGAGGAGCGCCGGGACAGCTGGAGGACTAGCATCCATCACCTGCTCGACCTGGAGGAGCAGTGGGACCAGCTGTACCACCAGGAGCTGGCCATGTGGCAGGAGGAGCGGGCCACCCAGCGCGAGGAGCGGGCGCGCGACCGGGAGCTGCAGTTCCGCCTGCTCGGCGTCCTCACGGACATCCGGGACGAGCTGCGCTACCTGCGCCAGGAGCGCGCCGGCGCCCGCCAGAGCCCGGCGCCGCCGCCGCCGCCCCCCGAGCCCCGCCGCGACCCCAGCCCGCTCCTCGAGCAGCCCAAAGTCGAGCCCGGCTTCCCGGAGCCGCCGAGCGAGAGCGCCGCGTGGGCCGACGCCGCCGTGCCCAGCCGGAGCCCCTTCAGCGGCCGCGGCCGGGGCCGGCGCCGAGGGCGGCCGCGCGGCTCCGCTTCCCGACACAGACGCCTGTTCCTCACCAACAGCTAGGGACGGGCCGAGCGCCGGCCCGCCAAGGACACGGTGTGCCCGCGGCCCCCGGGGGACGGCGCGGGCGGGCGCTGCCCCGCGCGAGGGCCCCGCCGCCCCCGCGGGCAGGTACGGGGGGACACGGGCGGTGGCCGGCGCCGCGTGCCCGGGGAGCGCCGGGCACGTGTCCCCGCACGCGTGTTCGGGCGCGTGAGCGCCCCGAGGTCGCGCCGAGCCCGCGGGGGACACGCGCGTGGACACGTGACGCCCGTAGTCGAGTAGGATTTACTACCTTTCGGGGGGTGGGGAGTTTAGGAACACTTAGTCGCTGACGTGCGAACATTTTATGCAAATCATTTAATGAACTAATTTGCATATAACCATAAAACTTCTGTTAAAAAAAAAAAAGCCTCCAAAAAAAGAAAAAAAAAAAAAAACAGAAAAGGCGGGTTTTTTTTTTTTAACGTGTGGTCTCTGTGTGGGGGCGGGAGCTGGGCCGGGGGGTGGTTTGTCCCATGGCCCTGCCTGGCACAGTCCTGAACAGGGACAGGGACGTGGGACAAATTGCTTTGGTGGCTCTGAGCTTCACCCCACTGCTGTGGGGGAGCCCAGCACTTGGGATCAGGCCTGGGGCAGCAGGACCTGGGCTTGGAACTGGGAGCTTTGTCTGCCTGTGTGGACCTGGAGAGGGGTGATGGTGTGTACGGCTTAGGGGGTGCCTGCAGGGGCAGTGTGGAAGGTCCCCAGGAGTGTTTGGGGTCTCCAGGCAATGTGGAGAGTTCTCAGGTGTGTTCAGGGTCCCCAGGAGTGTTTGAGGTCCCCAGGCAGTGAGGTCCTCAGCAGTGTTTAGGATTGGGGTCCTCAGCAGTGTTTAGGATCCCCAGGTAGTGTTTGGGGTCCCCAGCAGTGTTTAGGATCCCCAGGTAGTGTTTGGGGTCCCCAGCAGTGTGCAGTAGTCCCAGGCAGCCTGCCAGGTCCCCAGGAGTGTGCAGTGTCCCCGGGGAGTTGTCCAAGGTTCCCAGCAGTGTTTGGGGTCCTCAGGCAGTGTAGAGGGTCCCTGGCATCGTGTAAAGACCTCTGGGCAATGTGCAGTGTCCCCAGGGAGTGTCTGAGGTCCCCAGCAGCATGTGGGGTCCCTGAGCATTGTACAGTGTCCCCCTGCAGTGTGCAGTGACCCCGGGCGCTGTGGAGGGTCCCTGGCATCGTGCAAGGTCCCCTGGGCAGTGTGCAGGGTCCCCAGAGAGTGTCTGAGGCCCCCACCAATGTTCCCAGGAGTGTGCAGTGTCCCCATGGATTGTGCAGTGTCCCCTTGGACAAAGTGCAGTGTCCCAAGGGAGTGTCCGAGGTGTCCAGCAGCGAGTGGGGTCCCCAGACACTGTGCAAGGTGCCCAGGGCATGTGCTGGGGCCCCAGGAATGTGCAGGGGACCCTTGGGCAGCATGTTTGGTCCCCAGGGAATGTGCAGTGTCCCCCCAGCAGCGTGTACGGTCTCCAGAAATGTGCAGTGTCCCCGAGCATTGTGCAGGGTGCCCAGCAGTGTCCAGGGTTCCCAGGGGATGTACAAGGTCCCCAGGAATGTGCAGTGTCCCTCAGCAGTGTGCAGGGTCCCTGGCATCAGGCAGGGCCCCTGGGCAGTGTGCAGTGTCCCCCAGCAGCACCCAAAGTCCCCAAGGGTTGTGCAGTGTCCCCACGATGTGTGCAGTGTCCCCAACAACATGCACTGTCCCCCAGCAGTGGGCAGTGTCCCCAAGGATTGTGCAGTGTCCCCAGGGCACCCCAGCCTCACACCCTCTGCCCCTGCCCCCTCCATCCCCAGCCCACATCAGGGTGACAGCACCACTGAACCCCGACCCCTCCTCTGCTGTGTCCCCCCCTCCAGCCCCCCAGCGCATGGGGACACCCCAAGTGCCACCTCCTGCTCGCTGGCAGCTCCTGCCCCATGTGGGGTGGGGCAGGTGGTTGCAGCCCCCGGGGAGGGGACAGAGGGGCAGCAGGAGCTGTGGCACTTGCTGGGTCACCCAGCCCTGGTTGGGGCCTCCCAGGGGGACAGGGACACCCAGCTCGGGGCCCAGGGGGTGCCTGGGGAAGGGCCATGGCTTCCCATGGCTATGGTGAAAAAATTGGGTGAAATATCCCCAAATCAAGGGTAGGAGGGACCTGGGGACAGGTCAGTGACAGGGGACAGGAGGGACCTGGGGATGGGTCGGGGATGGAGGACAGAAATCGGGGTTCAGCCAATTCATGTGATTTGCAGAGGGGTTTAGGGGGCAGGGAGGTGGGTGCTGGGCTCGTGCCCCGAGGAGACCTTGGGGGCAGCCCAAGAGCCTCGGGAAAGGCAGGAAAAATGAGAAATGTTGGGAAGTGGAGATGCAGGAAAGGGTTTGAGAAGCGGGGGGCTGTGGGTTGGGGGGGTTCAGGTGCACCAGGAGACTCAGGACATGCTCGGCTCCAGGGAGCTCAACACACCAGGGCTGGGGTGTGAATGTGTGTGAGCACACACAGGCACGTGTCAGCACACACAGACACGTGTCAGCACACACAGATAACACAGGTGTCAGCACACACAGACACGTGTGAGCACACAGACACACGTGTGAGCACACACAGATAACACATGTGTCAGCACACACAGACACATGTGAGGACACACAGATAACACAGGTGTCAGCACACACAGATAACACAGGTGTCAGCACACACAGACACATGTGAGCACACACAGACACGTGTGAGCATACACAGATAACACATGTGTCAGCACACACAGATAACACAGGTGTCAGCACACACAGATAACACAGGTGTCAGCACACACAGATAACACAGGTGTCAGCACACAGATAACACAGGTGTGAGCACACACAGACATGTGTGAGCATAGACACACATGCAAGCACACACAGAGATGTGTGCACACATACACACAGCACACACAGACACATCCATGTGAGCACACATAGAGATGTGTGCACACATACACACAGCACACACAGACACATCCATGTGAGCACACACAGACACACACGTGTGCATACACTCCCTGGAGCAGCATTCCCTGTCCTTCCCTTCCCTGTCACCCATGGGTGAGGCATCTCCCCGCCCTGGGGGTCTCCACACAGCCCCACCTCAGCCGGTCACACGGGGACATCCAGCAGCCCCCACACCCCCAGCTCCACCATTCCCACATGTCCCGTGTCCCACCACGATATTCCCCCTTCCCCATCCTGCAGGACCCCCCGGGCGGGGCAGGAGTGGCCGCAGACCCCGGGGGACCCCGCGGGGTTTGGGGTGAAGGCGCTGCAGCCCAGCACGACTTTATTCCGGATCGCTTCGTCCATACAAAACTACACCCCAAGCACTGTACAGCGGGACGGGGGGCGGGGGGCAGTAAAAATAAGCAGCGGGGGCCGGGAGGACAGAGCGGCAGGCGGGGGATGGCGCGGGGGGGGGCACGGCGGGGGGGCTGCTCCCCACCCCGTGCGGCGACATTGTCTGTGGGGGGAGCGCTGGGGGCCGAAGTGTCCGTCCACGGCGGGGGACCGGGGGGGGCGCGACCCCCCTGGGGGTCCCCGCGCGCCCCCCGCCCCGGCCGGGCACCTCGATTTGGTCGGAAGCTGCGTGGCCGGTGCCCGTCCCCATCCCGGGGGGTGTCAGTCCGCGGCGGGGGGACACCCCTAATCCCCGGGGGGCATGATCCCGGGCGGGGGCAGCGGGGGCGGCCCCGCCTCGGCCCCGTGGACGCGCTGGTGGTCCTTGAGGGACTCCTTGTAGCGGAAGCTGCGGCCGCAGGCCGGGCACTGGTACGGGCGCTCCCCGGTGTGGATGCGCTGGTGCTTGAGCAGGTTCTGCTTGCGGATGAAGCTCTTGCCGCACTGGGCGCAGGCGAAGGGGCGCTCCCCGGTGTGCAGCCGCTGGTGGTTCTGCAGGTGCTCCTTGCGGCTGTAGCACTTGCCGCACTCGGAGCACTTGTAGGGCCGCTCCCCGCGGTGGATCATCTGGTGCCGCACCAGCCCCGAGTGGCAATTGAAGCTCTTGCCGCACTCGGCGCACGGGTAGGGCCGCTCGGCCGCGTGGCTGCGCTGGTGGATCCGCAGGCTCTTCTTCCCGCTGAAGCTCTTCCCGCACTCGGCGCAGCCGTGCGGACGCTCCTCGGCGGGTCCCGGCGGCGCCGCGGGGACCCCCCCGCTCTCGGTGCCCGGGCCCGGCTCGGCGCCCGGAGCTTTGCCCAGTCTGTGCTGCGCCGGCAGAGCCACGGCCGCTGGCACCGCCGCCTGTCCCTCGGGGGTCCCGAAGCCCGTGCCGGGGAAGAGCAGCTCCCCGGAGCCGCCCGGCAAACCCACCTCCTCGGGGGGCTCGGCGTGGGGGCACCGCTCCTCCGTCTTCACCAGCAGCCCCTCGCCGGCTGCAGGGGATGGAAAACGGGTCAGTGCCTACCAGGGATGGCCCCAAGTCACAGCCCAGCCTGGTGGGTGGTCCCCCCCCCCTGCCCCAGGCCCATCCCAGCCCCGTGGTGGGGATCGCTCACCAGGACCAGGACCCGGGGGCAGCATCTCCCTCTCTGGCAGCTCCCAGGGCTCACGGACACAGGGCTCCTCCTCCTGCTTGATCCACGACAAGAAGTCGTGTGCAGTGATCAGGGCGTCCGCGCCTGCAGGGGGGGACGGGATGGGAACAGGGATTCAGCCACGCCGGGCCACGTCCTGCTCCAGGAGGATGGGGAGGGAACAGCTCCAACAGGCAGCAGTGCCAGGGTGGCTCCGCCCCGGGCTCACCTGCACAGGGGTCTGGGGGCATCCCCCGCTCCTCTGGGAACTGCTGCTCCCCCACAAAGGCCACCTCCTGCTTGATCCGGGACAGGATGTCGGAGGTGGAGATCAGCGACTCTGTTCACAAGGAGAGACTTGTCCAGGGCCAGGATGTGGCCACACGGTGTGACCCACGGCCACCAAGGGTGTGTGACCCCTGGGCTCCAGCTGAGTGGGACTGCCCTGTCCCACAGCAGTTATGGGGCATCCAACACGCTGAGGGAGCTATGGGGATGGGTGACTGTGGGACAGTCCTTGGGGATGGGTGACCCTGAGATGTCCCATGGGGATGGGTGACCCTGAGACAGTCCTTGGGGATAAGTGACTGTGGCACAACCCCTGGGAACAGATGACTCTGGCTCAGCCCATTGGGAACAGGTGACTGTGGCACAGACCACTGGGGATGGGTGACAATGACAGGGCCAATGGGGCTGGGTGACTGTGGGTGACACAGGCTCTGACACAACGTGGTGGCAGTGGGGGACATGTGGATCTCCCAGTGATGAATATCCAAGACCCCCAGTACATCAGTCATTGGGATATTCTGGGGTCACTCATGGTAATTCCCAGACACAGCTGGAAAACTGAGCCCAGGGGGGACAGGACCACTGGGGAAGGAGGAGAGACATCCCTGGGCTGGGCAGGGGGGGGACAGAAAGGGACGGGGGCACAGTGGGGACGGGGTCCTCCTGCCACGCCTCACCTGCGCAGGCGTCCGGTGGCAGCTCCCGCTGCTCCAGCTCCCGCTGCTCGGGAACACAGGGCCCTTCCCCGCGCTCGCTGCGGGGCTGAGCCTCGCTCCTGGAGAGGGCACCGTCTGTGGGGACACAGCACTCATGGCACCGGGGCTGTGCCTGGCACACCCTCCCCGTCACCCACACACAGGGGGACACGCAGGGGACACACCGGGCTGCCAGGCCCCGGCATCCCTCCTGGCACAAACCCCGCCTAAATCCCACAGGACCTCCACGTTGGAGGGTTTCTGGGGACAAGGACCCCCTCCAGCCCCCTGGGGTGGCAGGGTCTGCCCACCGTGGCATGGCATGACATGGCATGACATGCCACCCTGTCCCCCCGCACACAGCACGAGCTGTGGAGCATTCCCTCCAAAATGGGTGCTCACGGGGACACAGCAAGTGCCACCGCCCACGTTGGGGACCCTCCGGGGAGACGCAGCCTGCAAGGAAAGGGGCAAAAGGGAATGTTTACCCAGGGAGAGCAAAGCCTCGTAGTTCTCCTTCACCAGGTTGTTGTACAGCTCCTTCTGCCACTCCTCCAGATTCTTCCACTCCTCCGCCGAGAAGTAGACGGCGATGTCAACAAACGTCACCGGCACCTGCGGGGACACGTCCCCACGGCTCAGTGGCACCCCCTCCCCAGGGAAACTGAGGGTCCCCCCCCGTCCTGCAGCCCCCCGGGAGCCCTTACCTTGGGGACCTCGCCCCGGGGGCCGGGGGGCAGCCGCAGCACCCAGAAATTCCTGTTCTTCAGGAGGTTCTCCACGTTCTCCAGGCGCCTCTGGAGCAGCCCGTACTCCTGGATGAGGGTGCCCAGCACGGCCCACTTGCTCTCCAGCTGGTTCCCGAACTCCATGGCCGTCTTCTCGCAGTCCAGGAGCTTCTTCTCGGCCGTGCCGGATCGGCCCTCCAGGCTGAGCAGGCGGGTGGCCAGGAGGTCGATCTTCCTCTCCATGGCCTGCACCGTGGCCACCACGGTCCAGAGCGAGGCCTCTGCCGAGTGCAGCTGCGCCTCCCGCACGTGCGCCCGCTCCGGCAGCAGCGGCGGCTGCAGCGGCATCAGGTGAGGGGCTTCCATGTTCCACTCCTGCACCTGCGCCGTGGGGAGGGCACGAGTGGGAGGAGGTCCGTGGTCACTCCATCGAAGCCCCCGTCCCCCAGTTGTAGGGCTTTCAGCCACCAGCAACCCCAGAACCGCGTCATGTGTGATGCCCACCGGCCTGAGGGGACGGCGAGTGGCAGACCAGGGCAGCCATGGGGTCACTGTCCCCGTGGGACACCAGCCAGGTGACTCCCCACCCTGTCATCCCAGACCCCCATCCAGTGGGAGCCATTCCTGGGCCTGCCCAGGCTGGAACCCCACCGAGGGAGGAGGATGGAGATGGGAGGGCAGGGAGCAGCCAGGGGCAGGTGTGGACCAGGGGTGCCCAGGGATACCTTGGGGACACACAGGGACATGCCAGGACAGAAGTGCCTGGGGCATCCCGGGGGCTGGAGCCTGCACGGAGCATCCCGGGGCACCCTGGGGCATCCCGGGGGCACGGGGACATCCGGGGCAGAGGTGCCTGGGGACACGCTGGGAACACACGGGCATCCCGGGTCAGCGGTGCCCAGGGCA